GCGCGGTCATCAAATCCACGTGTCCACTAATATGGTGACTGCTGCCGACCTGCGATGGTCTTGAATGGCTGCAGATATTTTATTAACTTTTAAACTTTTTTGTGGCCGAAGTGTTTTAGCTAAATTCTCAAATGTTGGATTTGGGTATGTTTATTTGGTAGACATTTGAGGGCTCTGAAATGGTATTTAATTATGGGCAAAATAAGTTAAAAAATCATATTACTCTCGGTAATCTTTAATAACACCTCCAACAAGGTAATCTAATTACCCCATATATTACCAACAATAATATTATTTGTAATAAGATTAATGCAATATCTTTACTTGAAAACCAATAAGGGAATCTTGAAAATTAAACGAAGATTATCGGAGTAATCTCATATGACCCTAAACCAATCAACCACCCTAGAGTGAAGCAGATGATAGGATATGAATATTAAATTAGTGTAACAATGACAACTAGGTCCGTTGTTTTATTATTTAAACCTTATTCCCTTCTTATTCTCAAAATACTTATTTGTTTAATTATTTGGGAAATACTATTATTTTTTAATTTTTTAGACCCCTTAAGTTTATTATTTAATTAACACCCCTAGATTTTTTTTTTTTAAATTAACAAAAATACCCCCACCCACCCATAGGCTTAGAAACGACCGGAACTGGCCGGTAATTCACCGTCTGGCCATTAGTGATAGCCAAAGAAATGGCTGTCGTTGACAGTCAATGACGATCAAATCTTAGCCATCGTTACCCATAACACGACACCATATCTTTAGCTATCGCTGACGATCAAATCTGGCCTTTTGTGCCGTTGACGGCTAAATTCATGGTGGTTTGGTCGAAAAAAGTCATATCGACTCACGTAATTAGATCCGACCGGTCTACGTCGCAATGCCATTTTCGGCTAGATTCTGATAGTGGTAGCCAAAATCTGATACTATAGGTGAATGAGAGTATTTTTATTATTTATAAAATTTATATATATTGGGATATTTAGTTAAATTAGTAAATTTAGGAGTTTTTTATTATTTAAAATTTTATCTCGTAATACTCACTTTATTTAATTACTTAATATTATTTTTAAAATTTTATCCAAAATAACAAAACAAACGAATATATTAAAAATTAATCTCATCTAGACTACCTACTCATATATGATCAAATATTAAAAACTTAAGAATTAAAGCAGATATAAGGATGAAAATATATAATTATTGTAAAATCACATCACCGCCCATTATATCTAAGTCAAAAAGGAAAAAGGCAGGTTTTCCTAGAAAAGAGATGGGAGTAAAAAAGAAGGCAGGGCATCTTCATGGAAACGGCTTACGACATCAGGATGATTTACAGGCTGTTTTTTTTTTCTTTCTTTTGTTCTTAGTATATTTATCGTATAATCAAAAAGCTAAATTATTTGTTGTTATTTGAACACAAAAAATTTTAAATTAATAACAAACTCTTTTGCCAATAATACTCATATCAAATTTATGAAAATTCTGATAAAATAAACTGCTTAATGGTTTAAACTCTAATAATTGGGCTTTTTAGCAAGATTGCATTTAAGATCATCATAAATATTTTTTGAATGATATTTGATTGATAATTTCTTATTTTTTTAAAATTAAAATAGGGTGGTGATTTTGAACTTTTAGCCTGTATAATCACTCTTGGATCTTATAAATGTTAAGAATTTTAGAGTTAATGAATCCACCTGGGTTTTATTGAATATCAAAATCTCTCGAGGTTTCAAAAATACAAAAATCTATTTATTGTTAGAACTTAATTATAAGTTAATAGATATTAACTTGATAATCATCAATTTTGACATCTAAAACTTACGATCATAGGTAATAATAGATTTTTTTGTATTTCTAAAACCACAAAAAAATTGTACATTAGCTGTAATTTTTATTACTTCCCAATTGTACTTATGATTTTATAAATCCTTGTTTTAGTTCATTTGCAAAAAGTGATTAATGATTAAACAAATAGAAATTACATATTGTATTCAACCCAGTTAGGGAGTTGATGATATACACCCGATGGTTGTCATTTTGAAATTTCTCTTAGATTTTTTGTCAGCAATGGATGATCTTGTCGGAATATAATTTAATTATTATATTGGATGAAGCTACTGCTATGTTATGTAGGTCATATTGGTTTTTTGGATAGTTGAATGATGTTGATTGCTCCTTAATACTATTGGAACATAAAGCAATAGACATGCTAATTCAAAGAAATTCCATTAGTTTATTAGAGAAAGACTTTTAAAGGGAAAAAGTAAAAGGAAAAACACTTTTCCATCGCTTTACTTCAAGGAAAAGCAATTCATTGAGATAATTTCAAGAACTTTAGTAAAATAGGTGGAGATGAAATTTCATGAGGTTTTTACGTTGAATTAGTGTCAAAATCACACCCAATGGTAACGGCCCAATAAGTCAGAAATAAGAAAAAAGGGACATCTTCCGGGGAAAATGATGAAATTAGAAATTAGAGGTATATAGGAATTGTGATGATTTGGAAACTTCTGGGAAATTTCCTGTTTGGGAATTAATGAATTTGTGTCAGAATCACACCAGTTTTGAATGGCTTATTTGTTTTTTGGGGTTGCAATTATGCGACTAGTCAAAAAGGAAATATAAAAAGGCAACGGCATCTTCTGGGAAAGAGATAAAGTTTAAATGCTTAGATGGAAAGACTCAATTAAGATGTCCTGGTTTAGCTCTTTATGTTTTTGTTAATGTCAAGTAATTCTCATCACTGGAACTTAATGGCTGTTGCTTCTTCTTCTGCTTCTCCTCAAGAAAATGATGTTTTTTCTTAGTTTCAGAGGTGCGGATACCCGCAATACTTTTACTTCCCATCTGTATGCTGCGTGTGTTCAAAAAAAGATCAATGCATTCTTGATGACGAAGAGCTTAAAAGAGGGAGCAAATCTCTCCATCCTTTTTGAATGCAATTGAGCAATCAAAGATTTCGTTGATCATTTTCTGGAAGGGTATGCTTCTTCGGATGGTGCCTTGAAGAACTTGAGAAGATTCTTGAATGCAAGAACAGTTATGGTCAGATTGTATTCCGGTTTTCTTGTGTATATCCATCAAATGTAAGGAATCAGACTGGGACTTTGGGAAGGCATTTGATGAGCTTGACAAGGATAGGCAGGAAATGTTACAGAGATGAGGACTGCTCTGAGAGAAGCTGCCAATCTTTCTGGATTTGATTCGTGTCATCAGTAACTATAATAGCTATTATTATGTCTTTTAAATGCATAATGCTTTTATTTTCTGCTCATTTTTTGTTTTTTAATTTGACTTATTTTCTAGAAGAAACAACGACAATATTATTGATTGAACATATAATTACAAAGTGAACAAACTGTGCACATCATATTATTAAATTCATAGTTGGATTCTTCGTTTTTTTAATTTAGCACTAATCTTGATTGAACTATTAATATTTTGTTAATTATTATAAGTTAGATTATTGTTTTAGACTAGGAGATGGTCGTAGGCGAAAAAGTAAAGTCTTTTGATTTACTTGGAAAGAAAAAAGAAAAAAGATAATGAGAACCAATAATTTGAAGTTAAAAGAAAGTGATTTTCATGCAATCTTGTAATGTTTTTTTTTTTTTTTCAATTTTTTATTGGATCTAACCTAGGTGAATTCTAGTATTTTTACCCTGTGTACTATTTAAATATGATGTCATTTGATAGCAAATTACTAAGTCGTTTTTCCATTAAGCTGTATTTTTATTTAATTGATGCTTTCAGCTTGATATTCAAGAGATCATCGAGTAGCATAACTTATTGTTGTTTTTTGCATTGAGATATGGCATATAAATACTTCATAATTAATATATTGTTAAAAATATGCAAATGTTCAAACTCTATGATCTCCAAATTTGAGTGCCATTGGTCTCACATCCTAGGATGGAATATTTGCCCTCCCTTTCTTATGACCTTCATTGAGATTCATTTATTGGAATATATGTCGTGTACCTTTTCTTTTTGATTTATCTAATTTGAGTTATGTTCTTGTTTTTGTATTTGTTAGGCCGGAATCTGAACTTGTAAAAGAAGTTGTCAAAGATGTTTTGATGAAATTGGGCCGACCTCTCCTTTAATCAGTGAGGACCTAGTTGGTGTAGATTCAAGAATCAAGGATATTGAAGCTATTACTTATTGAGTTTGCTGGTGTTCGCAAGATAGGATTTGGGGTGCTGGTGAATAGGGAAGACTATCTTGCTTGGGCTGTATTCATAAAATCTCTAAAAATGGACATTTCGAAAGCACTCACTTCTTTGAAATATTAGGAAGAATCAGAGAAAAGCAAGGGCCAAACGGAGTTGCAGCGACAAATTATTTGAAATTTTGGGGATAAGATCTAATATAAGAGACACCAGCACCATAAGAGGCTTAGACGTATGAGTTCTTATCGTGTTAGATGATGTGACTGATTTAGAACAAATAACTTTTAATTGGAGATTTTAAGTACTTGGTTTAGAATCGAATTATCATCAACAAGGGATAGACAAGTATTAAAAATTGTGACTGTGATGAGGATGACATATATGAGACTATATTATCCAATGATGCAGCTCTCCAATTGTTTAGTCGACATGCCTTTAGACAAAAGGGTCCCCAAAGATTTTCTGAACTAGCTGAAAGGGTGTTATCATATGTTGATGGTCTTCCACTTGCTCTTAAGTTTTAGGTTCCTCTCTATTTGGGAGGACAGAGAAAGAATGGGAAAGCTATATAAAAAGATTAGCAGTCCTGATATGAAAATCCAAAACGTATTAAAGTAAGTTATGATAGACTAAATGAGGAGCAGGAGTATTTTTGGATGTTGCTTGTTTCTTTAAAGGGCATGGCAGAGATCTTATAGAAGCAATCTTGGATGGCTGTGGCTTCGCCTCACATTATGATATAAATGTTCTGATTGAAGGTCCTCATAACTGCATCATTCAACACCATAAATGCATGATTTACTTAAAAGACATGGGTAGAGAAATTTTCGAAAAGAATCAATTGACGATCCTGGTAGACGCAGTCGGTTGTGGGATCATGAGATATCTTGAAAGTATTGACCAAAATAAGGTGAGAACGAAGGGGTTAATTTTTTATTTCTATTTTATATATGAGATATAATAAAATATTAGCTTGCAGAATATTCATCCCAGTTATCATTGGGAACTAACTCAATTGTAAAGTGATTGGGTGGGAATGAGACATGTCTTATATTACGTATTTAAAAAGAAATTTGAAAAGATAATGTATTTATGAGAGTTAATTACTTAACAATTTATGTAATTAAGCAATTTCATACTAACTATCGTCATATTCTGCTTTGATTATTAGGGGACTGAAGTATTCGAAGCATGCGCTTGAATATGTCTAAAGTATCAGAGTTACATTTAAAGCTTGAAGCTTTCAAAAACTGCAAATCTAAAATTCTTGGAAGTTTATGGCTGCAAGCATGATGAGAAGGTGCCTGGTTTGGAAGTCCTTGATCTGATTCTTGTTTGCTGTGCCTTAACATATTCAAGCCTTGTTTGAACGGTTTTTATGGAAGTTCTTTGAAAAAAATAGCTCCAGCATGAAAAGAAGTTGCTGGTTTCGAGGTCTTGAAATCTGATTTCTCTGAGCTACGGTACCTTCGGTGGGATGGATATCCTGCCAACTCATTGCCACCAAATTTAATCCAATGAACCTTGTTGTACTTGACATGCCTCATAGCAAACTTAAACAACTTTGAATGGTGACCTGGTTATGTTTCTTCGATTTTTCATTTTGTGCTTTAAATTGTAAATATTTGATGTTATTTATGTTCTTTTAATTCATTTAATTTTTTTTTTTATAACAGGCGAATCTTGTTAATTTGAAACGTATGGACCTCAGTTACTCCAAGCATCTATGCAGAATTCCAGATCTCTCACTTATCCCAAATCTTGAAGCTTGATTCTGAAAGGTTGTACAAATCTGCGTAGAGTTTCTCTTCTATCCACAATCTTGATAAGCTTGTTGTCTTGAATCTACAGATGCAAAAACATGGACATGCTTTCAATCAGCCTGCAGTTTAGATCTCTTCGGGAAGTTATTCTCTCTGATTGCTCAAATTTGAAATCAATTTCATTATCTCTTGTGCGGTAGAAGTGTTGTACTTATGGAACTGCAATTGAAGAATTGCCATCACTAAGCATCTATCTAGACTAGAAGAATTGAGTCTTGAAACGTTCGAGCTTAAGAATCTCCCTGAGAGTATTCGCGGGTGTAAATCTCTTGAATATCTTTCTCTTTCAGATAGTTCAAAACTTGACAGATTGCCTGAAGGCCTGGAAATTTAACAGCACTGGTGGAACTTAAACTCGAGGGAATTTCTGTAAGAGAAGTACCGCCTTCTATACTTGTTTGAACAACCTTGGAAATTCTCTTTGAAGAGATGTACGATTGAGAACCCACTGAGTTTGCTACCACATGATTCATCTTCCTTGAACAAACTGAGTTCCTAGATCTGTCTGACTCTTGTATCAAAGAGTTACCCACAATCTTGGCCAATTACGCAATCTGAACATTTAAATATAGGAGAAACATTTTGAGAGTCTTCCAGGGACTATTAAAGATCTCTCTAACTTGAGACGCCTTCTTTTAACCCGTTGCCAGAGACTTAAATCCTTACCGGAGCTTCCACACCAGTCATATATCTAAAATGCATGCGACTGCATTTCACTTGAAGAATTATCAGGTTTACCAACTGGAGATTGGGTGGATATTGACTTCGTGGATACTGACTTCGTGGATATTGACTTCGATAATTGTTACAAACTGAAATTACATGCAAAGGATCTACTCAATATTCAGAGAGACGCAGTTCTATGGTTTCACAGTAAGGTAAGTCTCTCTCTCTCTCTCTCTCTCTTTCCATATGATATTAATTTTTTTTTCTTTTTTCTTTTAAAAAAATAGTTCTCTGATATTAAGCTATCGATTTCACAAGAGATGATTTATTGATTAACTGTAGTCAAATCAAATACACAACAAGAGATTTTTATTGATTTATTTTATTAGTTTTTAATTATTAAAGCTTTAATATAATACTAAATTTTCTAAGTTCACACATAATATAATATTAAAAATGATTTTTTATTCAGTTTTAATAAAAATTAATGAACACCAATATACAGATTTTTTTATATTGTATTTTTAACGATGTGTGTATTTAACAAATGACAGTTACGAATACTATATTGGCCGCAAATAGTCTTACCCTTGACTCTTGTAGTGCCCAAATGTTTTTACCCTTGACCCTTTGACCGGTTCAAGGTCCATAGTATAAAAATAGAGAATATATTTTCTTTTTCCCATAATAACATATTTGGAGATTGTGTAATGCTTACTCTCAAATCTTTGTTTACACCCACTTTTTTTATCCGGTACAATCACACCCATATTATGTCTCTCTCCATTTGTACATATATATCAAAGGGAGATTGCAATTTGATGATCTTCTTGATATAGGAACGGAAGAAACGCTATGTACATGATTCCTATGTACGTGGTACCATATTTTACCCTGGAAGCGAAATTTCAGATTGGTTTGACCTTGTAAGTAATGAAAATTTTATAAAGCTTCCAACGGGTTGCCTCAATGATAATGTTATCGGTTTCGCTTTGTGCGTTGTTTTATCATCTCCATGCAAGAGTCTAGATTTGGAATACTGTAATTTCACAGTTCATTTTGATCTTTTTGTTGACGAGAAGCTCGTTTCCCAGGGCCTTCTCCGAAGTGCCAATGCAACCTTATATGCTTCAAAATCAGATTTAGATTATGTAATCATAGGATTTGAGTACATAGTTTTGTCTGAATTGCTTCCACTCAGTTCGAATAGTGAGGCCCGCGTTGAGTTCTTACTTAAAGATTATTTTAGTTCTCCGTACAAGTTGAAAAAGTGTGGAGCTAGATTGTTGTACGTCGAAGATAATGATTTGAGAACAGATGCAAGAGTGGACAGAGACCAGAGATTGAAATCTATAAATGGCTCTGATGAGTGATGATGACTCTATGTAAAAAGGCTACAGTAAGTGGACTCAAACATTGACTTCAATTTTATTTATTTAGTGATAATTATTTGTCAAATCTTCATTTAATGATTTTTTTAAAATTAAAATATTTTTCATGTCTACTTAATTTAGGGGTGCATAGGAGTTGAGCTGAACCGAGTAGTGGTTGACTCGAGCTCGGCTCGAATGCATTAGCAAGGGCCTCGAGCTGATGAGCTCTGGCTCACGAGCTTGGCTCGTTTAAGAAAATGCATGGCTCGGCTCGGCTCGTTTATATATTAAATGAGCCGAGCTCGAGCCATGCGTTTTCTATTGACCAAAATTTTATACAGATTTGTCAAACTGAAAATATATTAAATTTTACACTGATAACTAATCCAAAAATCTTGATAGAAGATCAACTAATTAAATAAAGAATCAGACAATCAGTCATTCTTTTCCACATCAGTTCACCAATTAAATAAAAACAATATGGTTAATGCCTTGAAAATATGGTTACTTGAACGAATAAAGGTTGCATGGTTTTTCATCCATTGCTCTTGAAACTGGTAGCAAACAGCTATGGTTTAAACTAAGAATTATTGGATAAAAAATTATTTAAAGCAGATTTTGGAAGATGCATGATAATATGTAGACTTAAAAGATTAGGGCCATAACATAACTAATAAGATNTTTACACTGATAACTAATCCAAAAATCTTGATAGAAGATCAACTAATTAAATAAAGAATCAGACAATCAGTCATTCTTTTCCACATCAGTTCACCAATTAAATAAAAACAATATGGTTAATGCCTTGAAAATATGGTTACTTGAACGAATAAAGGTTGCATGGTTTTTCATCCATTGCTCTTGAAACTGGTAGCAAACAGCTATGGTTTAAACTAAGAATTATTGGATAAAAAATTATTTAAAGCAGATTTTGGAAGATGCATGATAATATGTAGACTTAAAAGATTAGGGCCATAACATAACTAATAAGATATATATCTAGTCAGTCTTTGCAATAGAAATCATGTTACTTAAAAATGCGTCTGAATTATCCCATAAACCAACATAAAGAGTTATTACAAATAGGAGCTATATGCATAACCCAAAACATTCACGTTTAGAGTCTCAAAAGCATGTTTCAATCATCTTCTCTTTCTGGGGGCAGGCCGCAAGAAGTAAACAAGCACTGTAATATTGTGGAAAGCTGAATACCACCATTTTGCATTTCTTGAAGAAGTAATAGGAAGCCATTCATCAATAGCCTTCTGCCAGGCTAATTTTTCATCATCAATCTGTGAGTGACAACAGTACCATTTCCTTTAATTTAGAAAACAAAAATGCAACAAAACTCAAACAAAATAATTAAGTAAACAACTTGGCCATAAATCAAATAAACAGCATTTGAGGCTGAAAAAAGGTAACATCTTTTCTATCAAATTTCTTTAACTTACTAATATGTGTAACATGAAAAGGGTTTTGTATTTTACTAAAAACATAAAAAAGTAATGCTTTCTTACCATGGGTACTTTTTAATGGATAATCACATCGAATTGATTTCTAAGAGAGTGGTAGAAAAAGCCCACAATTCTTGAATCATCAAACATTTGCGAGTCAAGATTGTAAGCAAACTACAAAACTATAGATGACTGAAACCCAACGAAGCCAATTAAAATCATATTTCACTCCTCACAAACAAAACGAAATCTGAACTGCACTGCACTGAACTGCAGAGTTTGTTACCAGGTGTTGATGTGTAGGGAAAAGCAAAAACAAGAGGAACTAGTAGATTAGCAAAAACAAACACCGAAGGTAAACTGACAGTAGAAAGAGTTGGATTCTTGAAACCATTTCTGATCATTAAAACTAAGTTGTCTAAATCAAAATATGAAAATCACGTGGCAGTGGGGATCCTTTGGCGGAAGAGAAGAGACCTCTAGTCTTACCAACTCAAAATCATCACAAAGTTGGCGGAAGAAAATATAGGTTACAGTTAGAGAAAAGACTAGTGGGGCCAGAGCTTGATTAATTAATACAATACCATAATTAAAACATTAATTGAATTTAGATACATTATTATTATACATAAAATTGGAGCTGATATGAAGGATCTTTGAAAGCACCTGCTTTTATGGCCCAAAAGGTTAAGCGTAGAGCAACTAAACAAAGCTATTGAAAAGAATAAAAAAGAAAAGTAACTACAAAAAAGTCATTAAAAGAAGGAAGAACTAATTATGGAGGCAACTTATTTGTCACAACTAGCAAAACTTTTTGTTCTTTTAGCTCCAATTCTGTAATTTCTTCACATGCCTTTCCTATCTCCATCTCTGTCTTGGCTACTATGCTAGCTTTATGTATGTATTTCTATTTCCACATCAAACTTTAGCATCTAACAAAGTGACCAAGAAAAGCTGAAATGGGTAGAACAATCCAAAGTTGAATCTCAGTCAACTTTAAACTGAAGAAAAGCTGAAATAGGTAGAACACTTTGTGGATCATAATCGTTCAAAGCAGTTAAAGCTGAATAACTTGAAAAAAAGTTGACCCTTTATGATCATAATTACAAAGACCCCATCATCATCAAGCTTTAAGACCTCTACAAAGTTAATTAGTTTGGATAAAGACGCCATCATCATATAAGAAAGTTTTCAGTAGAATCTCTAACTCAAAAGTAATCATAGAACACACTCGCAGCTCAAACTCAAATACCTAGCTTCTATATGAAAGCAAGTATACTAATTATTACAATCATTTAGAAAGAACCAGTTTAGAAGACAGAACAAGAGTTTGATGCCTTTTATAAAACCCAAATCCAATTCACCATTCGGGTTAAAGAAGAGTACCGGTTTCTCCTGAACAGATATGAACTTTCCTAGATATATTGGCAGCTACCGATATATTCAAGCAACATAAATATGAAGGAAAATGTACCTTGTGGCAGCAATAGACTGAGAAGGAGCCTCTGTTCTAACAGTTTTTGCCTTGAGCTTCTTAGATAATGCTTCTAACTGATCTCAGTTCCTTTGAAACAGATACAGAATAAGAAATGAAGAAGGGAAGCAGCCAAATAAGAAAACTAAAGAAGTTTCAATAAACTTGACAGTAGCAGTAGGCTCAATTTGCTTACCTACATAACATTAACAAAATAACAAAATAGAAGTGAAGAAGGGAAAATGGCGGTGGACAGTAGTAGCTGAAGTTGTTCGCTAGTCAGTAGTAGCGGAATGAAGGCTGGACAATGGTGGTGTCTCAGATCTTGCAATTTGTTTTGGCGGAGGTGAGTAGCTGAATGTCTCTGTTTTCGGCCGAATGACTTTATTTCAGATTTTAGGGCAAATATGAATACACGAGCTTTGCCAAACCGATCGATCTCACGAGCTCTCCTACTCGAATGACGTTTCGAGTTTCTCAAAAGCTTGCAAGCAGTTCGAATCGAGCCCGAAAAGCTTGATATTTTTCACGAGCTTGAAGATGAGCTCGAACTCGTGAACTACTCGATTTCTGATGAGTCGAGCCTGAGTTCGTCACGAGTCGAATCCGAGTAGCTCATGAGCTACTCGGTTCGACAGCACCCCTACTACTTATCTTCTTTTCCTATTATCTTTGCAATAAATAAAAGAAAAATTGAAAAGATTATGTTAGTATTCAATCCCACACAACCACAAATGAAAACGAGGAGCAACAATTTATCAAAAAGCAACCAACAATTTATCAACTATATTTTGTATAATTTTCTCGATAAAACAGTTCTCTTTCTCTCCTTTCTTTTTATTCTCATCTTACTCTCTCACCATAACACAATTTCCCTCCTGACCAACTACAATAAGCCATCTGTCCCAGCCCAAAAATACTCCTCAACACTTGTCATTAGGAATTAGGTTTTGAAAAATTTGTTAGACGAAGGAAAATAAATGAATTAAGAGAAATTTCAGACTGGTTTAACTTTATAAGTAGTGAAAATTTTATAAAGCTTCCACCAGGTTGCCTTAATGATAACTTAATTGGTTTCGCTGCGTGTGCCATCTTATCATCGCCACACACACGAAGGTGGAGCAGCAATGCTTTCGAAGTTCGACTTAACCTTTTTGTTAACGAGAAGCTCGTTTTTTGGGCTCACTCTGTAATCATTTTCCAGCCATTGTGGTTATTGAATCAGATTCAGATCATGTAATCATAGGATACGGTTACAGAATGATACCCTCTGAATTGCTTCCACTCAGTTGGAATAGTGAGGGCTTCATTAAGTTCTCAGTTGATAATAGTTCAACTCAGTTCGAATAGTGAGGGCTTCATTAACTTAGAATGATACCATTTCATTTACATGCACACTTTTAAAGACCTCAAGTTAGAGAGATCTTTAAAAGTGTTCATGTAATTTTTTATCTTTAATAGTACCATTAAATTTAGCTGTTTTTCAGCATGCTTGATTTGTTTCTCCAAAGAAAGTACAAGGGGTTAATATCATGAAAATGCAAAGGATTAATACCTCGACAAGTTGAATCCTGAAAACCTTGAACCTCACCTCATTTATGCAGGAAAAGAGTCGCTCAAAAATACGGGGAGTTAAGCCTTGTTGATCACTTGATAAGTTTTCTTCCAACAAGGCGTTAGCTAGTCCCCACATGGCATATAAGTCTTTCCACTCCCTGTATTTTTCAGATACATGAAGAAAGCTAATGGCACAATTACATGTAAAATAAAATATGAGAAGAGAGGAATCAAAAGCAAGATAAAAGGTACCTACCCATAGGCAACCACTGAACTGTTAAATACAGCTAAACAATTTTCAATGAGAGGGAGACCAACAAGCTGGAAAACATCCAACTGCAAGACAAACCTATATTTGAGCACCTTACGGTAATAATGCAAATGGTCAAGTAGAAAAGAGATAATACCTATGTCAAATCAATGTCAGCAACTGAATCAAATGTGAATGTCTGTCCATTGATTTCCAAAGCATCATTGCCAACTTTCTGTACTATCATCTCCCCTTCTTCCTCTTCCTTACTTACAAGTCGCATTCGGACACTATCCAAACTAGAGACACTAGAATCTACTCCGTATACAGTTGGGCAGTAAAGCTACTTAACAACATTCAAGAATATCAGAAATATATAACCTGGTTATCCTTTTACTTTTAACCACGTACGCAAATTTCCAATTTCTCTCTCTCTTCTAATACAGAACAAAAAGAAACTCAAAAATTTCTCGCTTTTCCTCTCAGTAACAAAACAGAAGCAAAACAAAACTTTAAAATTTACATTTTCACAAGCTTGAGTCACTTTTTCCCCAAATTCTCTCAAAATTTAAAAAAGATAATATCAAATAACCACTGAAAAGAAGAAATTCGAAACAATTACTTGAACACCCGAGTCAGGGACCCCAACCATTACGTTCTTCCGCAATGACTTTAATTTTGAATTAGGGTTTGGAGAGGGCGACTCACTTCTCTCATAATTGTGTTTCTTGGCTGCATGAAGTGCTTCATTCCCATCAGTAAACTAAAGAGAGAGAAGAGACAATAGGGTTTGTTAATTTGGGCAAAGATTGTTGAGATTAAGGGCGTTGGAGACAAGAAAAGGAGAGGAGAGAGAAATGTATCCGTTAGAGAGTTCTGAATTTTTTTTTTTCTGGGTAATGAGTGTGTAGAGAAGAAATGGACAGATAAAGAGAGTTACTGATTTTGCATGAGGGGTTAAAATCAAAAAATTCGTATGGAACTTTAGGGCTCAGGCCCATTAGTTATTATTCATTTCTTGATAATGTAATGGAATTCTTCTTAAATTGCAAATAAACAAAAATTATGAATTTAGTAGAGCGAAATGTGTTTACAGGGATATACAAAAAAAGCAAAAACAATTTCCAAGATGCTTATGTTATAACTCCTAAATGTCGCGTAAATCTTCAATTATATTTGTTGAGTTACATCTTTGACAAGTTTCTCTTCCATGCTTCATCATTCTGATTTTTGAAAAAGTGTAAATAGACAAAGGGATACACCGTAGTTTTCAATAACAAAACAAAAAGATGATCAGAAATTAGAAATATAGTTATAATATATCAAAATTAAGACAAATAAAAACACAAGCAAATCTACCATACACAATTGCTATCTACACAAACAAATGGGGCCAAAATCCAACAACCAAAAACAAGTAGCTCAAATTAACCCAAGCAGACCATGCCAAAATTAAAACATAAACAAACAATCAAAAAATTACACCATGCATGCATTACTTAAACATTTATGACTAAAGAGGGCCATGGAAAATTAGAGAAGATTTTGGAGTCTGGAATGTTTCAGTCCATACTCTTCCAATGCAACTTTATAACTAAAAAACAATGGGATGGAAACCTCTGGACAAAATGTACTTACAGGCAAGAAGATCACTAACACCAGGCAGCTTCTTTTCTTCATTGCTTGTTAGTATCAGCTATCAATTGCAAATGCTTCTTCCTCCTTAGAGCCTGCATTTATTTATACATGGAAGTGGGGAGTTAAATATTTTTATAGTTGACCACAATAGTCAACCATGTGTAAATTTTAATGAATTATTCTTCCAATTAAACAGAAATTAAAGCAAGCAAGAAAAGTAAAACATATATGTGATCAGATTAATTCACTACAATTTGTTCAGATTCAATCTGAAACTGATTCACAGTATTCAAGAGGGAGCTGAGTTAATTTGCAATAGCCATGGGTTTATTTTCCTCAATCAGTTTATAGCACCAGACATGGAAAAATTGTCACATGTACTCAAGAATTAATTGGTATATCAACTCATGACACACAAAGGGTGTGCCTTTTTAAATTTGGGATACGTTATTCTACAGCAGAAGAAAGTTTCCTCTGTTCATCATATAAGGAGATATTCTTTATGGGATAGGATTAACAGGATCATTACTCAGTTGTAGGAGGAAAGTAACCAAATAATGAAAGAAGTTCAAACTGACCAACAATGGAAGACAATAACACCTGCTTTGTTCAGAATTGCAAAATTTAGAGAGTTTGTTTCAGTCTTGCTTGGTCTCTGGTGCACACACTAATGATAACCTTTTAGCTTGGCCTGTGGACACATTGTGTGATGGCTGTCATTCTGAAAATGTCTGGATTTTTTTCCCTAGAATTCGGATTATGTTGCTGAACTATTTAATTAGATATGTTAGATCAAGGCTACTGCTATATATACTTGTGTAGACATAAAAGTCCTCAAATGATTCTATTGGATTGAATATATACATGTGTGTGTGATAGGATACTGTATTATGTTTGGGACAATACTAGATTGAACAAAATAATTATATTCAAATTTCATAACAATATAATAAAATTTATAATATTAAAGTTCAAAATATATTGGCAAAAATTGCATTTATAATATAAATAGTTTTTAAATATATATAATTATAAATTTCAGTAGGAAATTCAAGGCTTTTTTGTCCATCATTTATGGGGTTTCTTGTTTGCCTGATCTTCAGGATATCTATGCCAAACCTTGTGCCTAGGTTGGGAGAAGCTAGCAGGTGTGACCATGGTAACCTTAAACAATTCATAATCTGTTTGGTCACGCAAACTCAAATAGATTATGCAATGCTTAAGGGGTGGGAGCAGCAGATGGTGCATTTGACAGGTTGGACTGGTTATAAAGTCCCTTATGCACTTGTGGGTTTCGATATGCATCCAGTATACTGCAGTCCTTGTAGTGTCATGTATGAAGTATGGGAACTTGGGCAGGATGGATTTCTTGCAGCTGATATATATATATATGCGCTACATTGTAGGTAGGGGTGTTCAAAAAAATGAAAAAACTGAACCGAACTGATAACCAAATCGAAAAAATGGTTCGGTTACGATTCGAAAAATTCAAAAAACCGAATTTTCGATTCAGTTACCGGTTCGGGAAAAAATAAAAAAGGGTTAACCGAAACTGGTTTTTTGAACCGGTTTTACAAAATATATATGTATATATTAAATAAAAATAAATATTATATATTAAATAAAAAATAATAATATTTTTAATATATTATTAGTAGTGGTCAATTGATATATGAATGTCTAATTTTTATTTGGATATGTGTTATTTATATTTACAATTTAATTTAGGAAAAAATAAAAAAAAATAAGTTTTATAAGAAAAAGGGAAAACCGGTTTTCCCTCCAAACCGGTTCGGTTTCGGTTCGAGAATTTTCCCAAACTGAAAAACCGGTTCGGTTCAAAAAAGTGGTTAACCACTTTTGAACACCCCTAATTGTAGGCATAGACACTGGAAGAGTTGTAGTCTCGGCTATGGCTTTGGTGTGGGAAGTGAGGCTGCCCTTTATGCAGATCTTTTTGTTGTTTTTGTTGTTGTTTTTTGTTTTGCTGCCATTGGGAGAGATGGACAGAGATTCTATGGTATTCTTCTCTTGCTTGGCTTTTTGTATAGGATCGCAAGATTGTAGAGATTAGGCTTCTTGTGGTTGTGCACTCTTGCTTAGACTTTCATTTTGTGTATTTCTTCTATGACAATTCTTTTTAATACAACCATACAACACGGTTTGACATCTCTCAGTGATTTATCCATTTTAAAGTAACAAAAATTTATATTCTTTTGAAAGTCATTTTACAATTTACACACTTTTTGATAAGATATATACGAAAGAAAAGATGAATGAATTGTTGACTCATCAATTTCATAAAATAAATTAACAATACTTGACCTCCTTCAGTAATCTGTCCAGGTTGCAATACAACTTATAACTATACACTTGTTTTTATTATAGACTTTGAATAAGCTTTAGCTAATATCTCATTGATTTTTACATGTGATTGTTTGTTCAATAATGTACCTGCGATTATTTTATTTAATAAGAGGTTTTATTAAAACATAATTTAAAGAATGAAATTGTTAATAATAATAATGTCAAAGGCCATGGGCCGTATGAGGAAGAAGTCATTAAAGGTTGAATGGATCATCTATTTGCTACTAATTGGAATAGAGAGACTTTGGGCTTCTGCGGTGTAAGTTGACAAAAGGCTAGTCTGTTCTAACCTTGGTTTGGGCTTTTTTTGCTTTGTAAATTGTTGTTTCTTTTTGGTCCAGCCTTATTTTTTTTGTTAAGCCTGTTGTAATGGATGGTACATCCAGCTTTTAGGCTTTTGATTTGTTTGCTTCCTTGGGCCTGTCCAAGGTAAGAGAGTTGTGGGGGGTTTTTCCTCCTTTTTCTCTGTATTATTTCGTTTTTTTATACAATTATCAGGTTTTCTTAAAAAAAAAAAAAAAAAAAAAAAAAAAAAAAAAAAAAAAAAAGGTTTTATTATTTTCTCAAGAAGATGCATTTAAAATTTTTTTTCAAAAAAAAAAAAAGTGTCATCATATTACTAATAGTTAATAGCATACATTAAATTTATATATTGAATGCAAATTTCCTTAACTTCCAATAATTTAATATATTGCTAATTAGAATATCATAGCAATTCCAGAAAAAAAAAAAAAAAAAAAAAAGGTGTTATAAAGCAAATAATAGGGTTTGATTAGCTCCTCTGGTGATCTTTTCATTTGTAAGTGAAACGAAATGAAAATTTTACAATTCCTAAAGAACAAAGTCCATCGTGTTAACTAAATTGAAAATTATACTGTTGCAGCTAATATATAAAACACTTTATTAGCTCAGGTAAACGCTTATATCAAGAGAAGATCTTATTCTATAAAGGCAATAAAAAATAAACGACTTAGTTTTCCCTTCCTAATTTAACAAATCATTATAAAACAAAATATGAAAATAATTATATTTTGTCCAATAATTTTCCTATAGTAATATTATTTAACAAGATGTTCTAC